GAGGAGGCGCCTGGGCTGCCCTTGGGGCTCTCAGCCGCTGCCCGCAGGCTGGGCCGGCTGCTCTGCGCTGTGGTGTTTCTCCTGAGGAAGCTCTTGAGCCGCTCTGAGCGGGTGGCATCGTGCGTCTGTCTCTGGCCGGTGTTGAGTGCAAAGATGAGCGCCACCAGGGGACATCCGGGTGTTGTGGGTACGTGAGTGTTCATACACTACGCCTGTTTCTTGCCCCAGTTGCGTGCTTCCAGGGTCGGCCTCCTGACAGTTTGCCTCCCCGGTGTGTTTCAAAGCGCTCACAGAGGCCTGGTCTCATCCTTTCTGTGCTAAGACAACACAGCCATGGGGCAGCGGGTGCTTGGCTGGCCGCCATTGCCCTGAAGGAGAGTCTAGTGCCAGAGGAGTGGGTGAGGGCACCACGTACCCGCCAAGTCACCGCTCAGTCCAGCCATCTGACTCGAAGAACTGAAGCAAGGGAGAGGTCGGCTGCTGCAGGCTCTCGCACACCTGTGAGCTCCTTGTACACCGGCTATATAGTGCATGAGCAGAGCAGTGCCTCTGTCGGTACCTCACTGAGCTCTGCTTCTCCCTGTGCTGCCAGAATGGCAGATCTGGTGCCAGAGTCCCCACCACCAGCCCCTGCCCAGCAGGCTGATCAGGAGTTCATCCCTGGCTAGGCCGGGGTTAACCATAGCACTTAACCTTTTGTGCACATGTGTGTTCTGGATGAGAGCTGTTCCCTCTGATCTCCCTGTTAACACTTCTGTCTGGAGTCTCAGAAATAACTACTTGAGCATTTGTAAGTAATGGCAGCCTGTTCACCTTTAAATATTTACCATGCAAGGTGGAGGATTGCATCCAGGTGCTGTAGGCTCTGCTGCTGGGCAATTTGGTGTGTGACTTTGCTCCATGAGAGTTACTACAGAAGATGGTCTGCATGTGTGTTTGAGAGACATCACTAACGATTTGCCCTCTAATTACGTGTTTCTGTAGCTCTCACGTGAGACTCGCTAGCAGGGGCTGAGCACAGGGCTGATAGAGGTAACTTGGGGCTTTGTGCTTTCCTTTAGGCTTTCTAAGTGTCATCCCAAATCAGTAGACTTCTGTGACCAGAGGGAGGCGGGGGGAAATAGCCTCTATAAACCACTATAGTTGGCTCCTTATTTCTCCCCTTTCCACTCCATCTACAGCTCTTAAGGTGTCTTTGGTGCATTTGTAGCTGTGAGAGATAACTGAGCTGGAAGGAAAATGAGTTCGGCAGATGCTGATACACCCTGTTCTTTGCCTGGATTTTGCAGCTGACACTGCAGAAGCATTGGTACCTCATCTCACCAGTTTAACATTGCTGTTACCAGCACAGCATAGAGGCTGCTGTGCAGGGGGGAACCATTTACTGAGGGGGAGTTGGGAGCCTCAGGTCTGTGTCTCAGGATTTCCCTTCAGTGTTCTTTCTATTCCAGTACTCCAGAAGCTGGAACCAGTTGACAGTAGGTTGAGAAGGATTAAGAGATGTGAGAACAACAGGAGTCTTGTGTTGATTTTCTGAGACAACTGAAACCTTTAGAGTTGTTGTCTTTTAATCTTGCAGACAAATGGGAAAGCTTGGTGAATTTTACTGTTTGTACAGACCACTGTCAGGTAGTGAATCCTCCAAAAGTTGCTGTGGGCAGAGCTCAGGTTAGTGAAATAAATTCCATCTATGAAAAACTAATTTGTGTCCAGTAGCCACAGAGTTGATCTGCTGTTGGTGACTAAAATCTTTGTGCTAGCTTTGTACTTTCAGTTGGCATGGGGTAGGAAACAGGGGGGACCTGAGTAACAGTGGTGCCTAAATGTGTGCTGAGAAGCAAGTTCAGGAAACATTCCTCAAGTTTCAAATGTTCTGGGAAGGATGAAAGAGAACTCCAGGGTGTATCTCACTAGAATCTGCATGAGTTACTTTTTTGCGTTCCTCTGTGAATTAAAATGGGAGAAACCTGTGTGAGTCTGTGCCAGTTGCTTGAGCACAGCAGAGACAGCACCAGCGCTCAGGCTGCAGTGCTGTTAGTTTTGGGAGTGCTGGCTGTTGACAAGGGCGTGTGATGCGTGTGTCCGATACCGGCTCCTTTCTCACTGTCCTCCCTGCCCCAAGCTGCTGCCCTGCACCAGGAGTTCCAAGCAGGTGTTTCTCTCCCTGACTAGTGCTCCTCTTGCCATGTGAGGGTCAGAAAAAAGCAGACACTTTCCGTGCATCCCACTTGGATAATGCTGTTTATAGATTTATCAAGTTGTATTTTAAACTGCTTGGGTTGTCTCCTTGTGTCATATTTTGGAAGGGAGTTTCCAGAACTTCATTCTTCTGCTGACAGCATTCTGTCAGCAATGTAATGTTGGGAAGTAACGCGTGCAGCAGGAGATGCACACTTTATCCTTATAAATTTAACCTCTAATGTAAACTAATTTACTGAACTGTAATGTATTGATAAGCCTGCTGTGAAACGTGTTTTTTGTCCTTCAGGTCTGGGTGCACTTGTATGTATCTGGGATTCAGTTGACCCTTTCAAAGCAAAATGCAGCCTGCTCTGTACCCTGATGGCATGTTAGCAAGAGGGGTGGGTGACGTAACTGGCCTGGTGCTTTGGCTGAATGTCACAGAGACAGGGACAAGGACACTGCCTTGCCAGGGGTTTGTGTGAGTTTGCAGTGGTTTGTGCAATCTCTTTACCAGGAGCAGTGCTATAGAAGGAATATGGAACTTCTTTTAATCTTACCATTAACGCACAAAAGCGTTTATCCAGTAGTCTTCTCTGTAGAGCATGTCCTCCCTTTAGCTTTAGCTTCTGAAAACCTGTTCTGCCTTAAATTCTAGTGACCTCTAGCTGAAGAGTCCTGCCACTTCACGTGTTGCAGCCAGGAAAAGTCACTGTTCGGCTGTTTTCGAAGCTGGAGCCCAGACCCGAACAGAAATCTTGCAGGGATTGGTGTGTTTAACAATTCTCTTTTAACTTGGGCTCCTGGGTGCTGTGGTTTGCGTTATGAGAAGGATGTCCAGGGTGGTTTCAGGACAAGCCACCTAACAGCGGTAGCACAAGTGAGTGCAGGTGCTGTTGTGCCGTGCCGAAGGTAGCTGGAGTCTGTGAATTGGGGAAGTCACACGCACACACTTTCTTCCTTTAAGCTGGATCTGTTTAACAGCAGCAATTTTAAAATCGCGGTACTTTTTAAAACAAAATGAACTCATGATACTGCCAGGGTGTCAGCAATTCTGCATTGCTTTAGAGCTTTTGTGGTGTTGAGTGGCTGAAACTTTAGCTCAACCCAGGAATGCTTTCTGCTGCATTGAGGGACTCTGTGTAGGGATGCTTCAGCAGGACAGGGTTGATCATGCTCTTTTTTCCCCACGTCTGCCAGTTACCTCGTTAGTACAGGTATAATGTCATTTAAGAGACTATAGGCAAGGCCTGTAATTTGTTGGATGCACAGTTCCATCCCTTCACGAAGGTGTGCAGCTGCATCCTACTGATGAGTGGGTAGGCTACTCTTATGAGTCAGTAGATGGTGTCCTCCGTTCTGCTGTCTTCACAAAAGAGTCCTCTGGACATGCTCCACCCCCCAGTGTCTTCCCTGTAGTGAGGGGCCCAAAGCTGAACCCAGCGTTCAAGTGTGGCCTCACCAGTGCTGAGCACAGGGGGACAATCCTGTCCCTGTCCCTGCTGGCCACGCCAGTGCTGACACAAGCCAGGATGCCGTTGGCCTCCTTGGATCCCTGGGCACACTGCAGCTCACATTCAGCCACTGCTGACCCCCCCAGGTCCTTCTCTTCCTTTTCCTCGGGGCAGTTTTCCAGCCGCTCTGCCCAAGCCTGTGGCGTTGTGTGGGCTTGTTGTGACCCAAGAGCAGGACCCGGCACTGAGCCTTATTGAACCTCATGTGACTGGCCTGGGCCTGTCGAACCGGCCTGGCCAGACCCTCTGCAGAGCCTTTCTGCCCTCCACAGATCAACACTCCTGCACAGCTGGGTGTCATCTACAAACTTACTGAGGGTGCCTCGATCCCCTCATCCAGACCAGTGATAAAGATATTAAACAGAACTGGCCCCAGTACTGAGTCCTGGGGAACACCACTTGTGACCAGCTGCCAGCTGGGTTCAACTCCACGCACCGCAGATAGTTCAGAGGCAGGAGGTAACGTTGGTTCTCTGTTGGGGCGCTGCTCTGCTGACGGGCAGGACTGGGGGGGTGGGAAAGACATGTCCTGGGGAGATCAGCTCAGCAGCTGCCTGTGGCTTGTTTCCTCTTGCCTGTACGTTTGGTGTTGGAGATACACGAGCCATGAATTCAACCCAGTGTGGCCTAGATCTCTAGCGGTTCTCAGGAGGAAAGCCCTTAAATGACAATGTGCAAATGTAATGGGATGTCTGTCAGTTGGGAAAACCAGACTGAATCCCTAGCCATGGCTTGCTTCCTTGTTGGACTGATCCACTGGATGACATTTTGGACACTTGAGATGCTGAAATTCTGCTTACTAGCATCCACCCTGCTTCGACTGCTTTGTCTGCACCTCTGCGCAGTGAAAGAAGGTAGGAGTGGTTTGGGTTTTTTTTAATTGATGTTTTGTAAAAGCGTGCCTGAGTGTTTATCCTGCCTGGGGAGAAATTCATCCCTGTGCAGGGGACCAGCTAAGGTCCCACTGTCAGTTATACTTCGCTGTTTAAACAGGTGTAAATGGGACCTAACTGCTGAAGTGATGAGACTCCCCATCTCCCAAATGATTTTTAATGTTTTCCCCTTTTCTGGTTAAAGCTAAGACCCAGAACAGATGGGAAATACTCAAGTCCTCTTGGCTGTGGGAGGAATTTGGGCTTCATGCCTCTCAGGAGTGGGCCATTTTGATTCCTGTCTGTCAGATGTAAACTAAAAAAACCCTCCAAGCCCTAACAGGGCTTTTCATTGTTTAACTTCTCTGTCTCTGACTGGAGCTTTCCAAAGCCTCTTATTCAATCCAATGTATGATTTTGGCACTGTTTCACATGATCTGCTGAAGACAACAATCTTTTTGTGCACTGTCACATTTGAAGTTGTGTCTTTGGAAGAATTGTCTCCTCTCGTGATTTTTCTTAAGCAAATCTCATCTCTTATGACTTCTGAGGCGCCTACAAAGGAATAATATAATTCCTTCCTGCCCCAGGAGGGTTTGCAGTTAATAGTCAGTAGTAGTTTGATCCTCAGCTGGATAAATGAATCCTTGCTTGCCTATGTGTTAGAGGGGTCAACTGCCACCAGGGACAGATTTGCCCATCCAGAAAAGCCTCACTCCCTGCTCGTGGGAGAGCCAGTGTGTGAGCAGCGAAGGCAGCAGGCTCCAGGAGCTGCCGCGGCTGCGGGTTTGGGTAGCGTGAGCCACCAGCTCCCCCCCAGCAGACTTCACCCTCCAGAGATGATTCTGTGTGGAGGCATCTGACCCAAGAAATGTTGGTGTTGGGGTGAGCGCAGGGAGGAGAGCGTGTCAGGAGTGACCCTCTGTGGCCAGCGGCAGAACTGTGCCTGGGTGGAGCACCGAGGTTATGGGCACCTACAGATTTTGGTGGAGAAACTAAATGAAGTAGATTAAAATATTCAACATACCAGTTTTAAGCTTGATTATGTATGTATATCAACACCTATGCCTTTGAACCAGCATCCACCTGCAAAGCATACAGAATTCCTCCAATGCAGTAGAAGCTTTGGGCATTCGTGTGAATGTGAGCCCACTTTTACCACCAGAGATGCCAGCAGTGGATATTGAAATCTGACACAGGGAGTACCTACCATAATGTTAAAGTTCACCAGAGGGTTATGTATATATACAGAGGGTTGTGATATGGCTGCTAAGTATAATCTCACTTCTTTTAGGACTTTTAGGTTCCAGGAAATACATACCATAAATATGGCTAAACTGCTCTAGTTTTGTAAACCATTGCTAAAAGTTAGTTTGGTACTTGAAACAAAAATATAGTTGGCTGAATAGTTAAAATTGTAAAAGAGACTTAAACTTTTTTTTTTTTTTAAATATAAATTCAGTGGCAGCAATTAGGTGCTTCTCCCTCTGACCTGCGTGGAGCCTGGGGGGGTTGGCCTTTGTGCACAGGCTGGGTGGGAGGGGAGGATTTCAGGATGCTTTTGGTTTGTGTCCGGAGCCTCTGGGAGCAGAGGGATCAACCTCGCCTCTTGCCGTTAGAAGGCACCAGAGATCTGCCGTGGTGCTCCGTGCCACCAGCCAGGGACAGCGGGGGTGGCTGTTCCGCATGGCGGGTGCCTTGGGGGGACCCCAATCCTCTTCCCCGCGTTTCTGCTTGGCACGTTCTGATGCAGGCTTGCCCAGCCGCTGCTTCTCCTCCGCAGTGAACACCGCTGCACTTAGGAATTTCGCTTCTGCTTCCCAGCTCTGCTGTGTCTCCAGGAGCACGTCTTCATCTGTCACCCAGAGATGTCTGTGTGCGGTGAGAGTCTGTGCTGGGATGGGATATCTGCTGCTGCTGTGTGCTGGAATCCTCATCTCCTCTTGGTCTTGCTGCTTGTGGGTCTGCCTGCTAGGAAGTGTTGGTTGTGTTGTAAGAAGCCTGAGAAAAATCTATATAAATGTCCATAATGTAAGCTTTTGAGCATATTTTGGACGTGTAGCTCCTAGGTACACACATAGGCCAGGTGGTTGCTTCATTTTCCTTCCAGGTAGGTAGTTCCCTGGATTCAGCTTTGACAGGTCTGTGTGCCATGTATTACACATAAGAGGGAATTCTAGCACTTTCTCTAAATTTTGAAGTTGGACAAATGGGTGTCGGTAGAGATGAAGGAAGGCTGAAAGTGTGACTGGAGTAGCAGAAAAGAGCTGCAGTTCGTTATTCCCTAACTCATCAGTACACAATGCCCCTATCTTATGCAGCAGATTGGTAGCATGTTACACAGGTGAGTGATTTCGTTCAGTAAATGGGGATCTGCTTTTGGAACAAAGTCCCTCTTCCCACTGAAATAATTCCTCAACTTGGGACATGCCTCCTGTTTCTGTGTTGACAGAGTAGGAAAGCCGCTTAAGAAAAAAAGTTTTACTGGTTTTTGGTTGGTTCTTTTTGTGTGTTTGGGTGGTTTTTTAAGTGTGCATTCTTTTCCCTGCAAACCCAGCAAAGCCCCAGCTGAAGGAGTTGAGGTGCTCTGTCTGCCATGGAAAATGAATCCCATGCCAGCTTGCAGCTGGTGCTGAGCCGAGTGTGCTTCCCATTTCCCAGTGGTGGCTGGGCTGGGGGGCAGAGGTTGGCTGTTCCTCAGAAGCTGTTGCAGGAGAGCTGCCTTCTGCCCTCTGATGTGCTGTTTCTTTGGCTTGCTCTGGAATTTGGCCTTAATATTTTATTTCTGTCAATGTACAGAGGTACCAAAACTCTCCAGATGACCCACTCTGCCTGCAGACAACAGTTCTGAATTAATACTGATGCCACTAACTGTACTGATTTTGTCCTGGGTTCTAGCTTCTGTTGAAAACAAAATCTTAAAGGAATAATGTTTAGAAAAGAATGCTAATGACTTAAGGTAAAAATTTTCAAATTTCATTTAAATTGCTAATGTGAAAGATCAGATAGAAAGGATCCCCAATCCAGCAAATTTTAGTCCACTCGGGAAAAGCTGCTTTGAACATCAAAAGGCTGCAGGTGGATGCTCTGAAAGGTAAAGTCTGCCCCTGGGCAGGGAAGAGAATCTCAGACCTCTCCTGTTTGCTGGAGCTGTAGATAAATCATTAAACATCCCCTGCAGCATGAGCTTGTTATCCCACCCACCAGAGATGCTTTTATTCCAGCCACTTTGTTATTTTCTTTCTGTGCATAACTGCTGGATCCTCACCCTTGTTGCAGGGGCGCGCAGGCCGTCACCCAGGGGCAGGAGCCGGGGTCCTTCCGAGGGGGAGCCGGCCCGTGCCCAGCGCCCCGGTGAGTTCTGAGCCCTGGGCTGGGTGCCGAGGACAAGTGCGGGCGGGGGGCTCGGGGCGAGCGGGCACGGCCGGGGGTCACGCGGCTCCCGGGGGCGAGAACCGGAGGTGACACCACAGTACTGCTCTCGCCCTTCCCGAGCTTCGCCGCGGCTGCAGGGGAGTTCAGGATAACCGTGAGTTTCTCTGGGACGGAAGCGGTGGGATATCGCCGTGTGTTGCCCTGCTGCGCGGTTTCAGTTCGGTTCAACAGCAGCAGCACGTCGGCAGTGAAAGGGTGGTAAGAGAAGTTCTTTGTGAACCCCTTGCCTCAGGGGTCCTCTTCCGAGGAAGCCCAGTGACGATTCTGACGATGCACCTGCCTGCTCGCCGCGTGTGCCGAGCCCAGGAGCCCCTCCCGGTCCTGCCGGGCCCCTTTCCTCCGCCGGCAGGGCGCTCGGGGGGTGGCGTTCCGCTTTGGTTTTCCCGTGTCTGTTGCGGTACAGTGTGCGGGGCGCGGTGCAGCCGTGCTGGCCGTGGCACCCCGGGCCTGCCCAAGCAGCTCTTTCTCACACCCGTAAGATTTCCAGGCAGGCTGAGGAGACCCCGGCGGAGTGGAGCGAGCGCTCTCACCCAGCACAATGCTAACCGGGAGGTGTTGGTTGTCTTGGCCCAGGGGAAAGTAGCGATTTTGTGACTTTGCGATTTTGTGACTTTGCAGTGTGAAACAGGAAAAGATGTATCATAACTGTACCCTAGGTGCACTTTATAAAGATACAAATCCTAGTGATTATTACTTGGATTAGTTTAACTTCGAGGAACACCTGTGATCTCTCCTCAGAGCTTTTATCTATTGACATATTGTCAAAAAATCATTAAGTTACAGACTCTTATACTAAAAAATGTCCTTGAGCAGCTGGCCTTGTTTGACACCAGTAGGATCACTGTGATATAGAAGCATCAGTATGTTAACCTGACATGGCTATTGCATCTGAAGGTGTATTTTGCCTTTGAAAAGTAAGTCTGGGGCTTGAAAAGGTGCTGCTGTGGCTTTGTTTCAGGCTGAAGACTCAACCTGTTCCCTTCAGAGGCACCAGTGGGGATCATAAACATCTGCTGCTTCATTTGTTTTGTTGTTGGATCTTGTTTCAGTTCTCCGAGATGAGAAATCAAAACTTTAGGTTTTTTAATAGTTTGCACTGGGGGTTTTTTGCCTTTTGTGAAATGCAAACTCCCCTGCTCTTTGCTGGGAATAGAGGTCTGCGTGAGCCGCAGCAGCAGCATGGGTGGGTTGCAGTTGATACCATAAAACATGCTGGAGAGAGTAAGAGCATCTTGTGTGCTGCCTCTGGTCTGTTCTGGACGCCCCTTGGTGGTGCTGGGAGAGACTGGGGAGCACTGAGCACTGATTTTCCATTAAATCTTTTCATTTAAAAAAAAGTATGATTTTGCCTCAAATGAAAGACTTCTGTAACAGCTTAAATCAAAAGGTTGACTCTTTGAATTTCTTCTTATAGAGCTTTTACAGTTCTGTATGACCTCAGGAGTGCCTTTCTGAATTTATTCAGCCAAGTCACTCTGCCCATTTATTTTGGATACTGACCTCACTACAACTGGTCATCGTATGTTGGATGATGCAGCAAACCTGAGCCAGATCCTCAGATCTTGTGGTCTGTTTCCACAGTTCCCTTAGTGGGCGGCTCTCCTGGTCTGGGTTACAAGGTGATGGTGTTGGTGGTTTTCTCTAGTAAACTCCGTTATAATGTGCTTTTTCCCTGATACTCAGTTTTGTCTGAGTATCGCCTCCAGTGATAAATTTGCAAGTTGCAGAATGCTTCTTAATCTTGAACAATGGTGAATTTTTGCCTTCTGTCTTTTCCAGGATGCACCAGCAGAGCTTTGCCCAGGTCTGCTGGGAGTGACCTGTGGGCGACACCCTCCTGGGGACAGCGGCTTCGAGGGTGGTAACGTGGCAGAGACGTGGAGAGCGCTGAGCCTGGGCGGAACACACCATGGGAGCAAACACCTCCAGCAAGTCACCAGCCTTCCGTGAAAGTGAAGACGGTGAGAGCCTTTCCTAGCTGTTGTCTGGGGCTGCAGACTCCACCAGTGCCGAGGTTGGGCGTCGCTGCCAGCTCTGGGCTGGGCTTGCCAACGCCTGGATGTCTTGGTGAAGCCGAGGTGTGTCGAGGCGTGTGGCCGTTGGCCTCCTGCAGAGCTGAGGTCGGGGGGTCCCATCGCCTCCCGGCACTGCAGCCCGGCACCAGCGGGAACTGTCAGCAGCGAGCAAGGTTTGAGGGGTCTCTGGGACGCTGCCAGGCGCTCCGAAAGGGAAGGAATGCTGCTGTGCTGGGGGCAGGGGAGGATCGTTCTGGAGATCAGAGCCCAGGCACTGGGGTGAAGTGTGGCAGGAAGGTAGCCTGAGCCATGTGCCTGCTGTCCCTGCTGCGGGCTCGCTGGGAGAGGCCTGGCCAGCAGCGGCAGAGGCGGAGGCTCTGATGACCACCCAGCCAGGCAGCTCTGCCCGCTGGCACTGGGAGACCAGCATGGGGGCTTGGCCAGCTGGAGAAGGAGAATACACTGCTGAGAGCGGTACTGGAGGCCATCGTCACTGTGCTGCCAAGATTAGAGAGACACTCATTAAAAGGCCATTCCATAAATACATTTACTGTTGCGTGAGTCAGCTTGCTTGCTGCCATATGGGCTTTCACCTAGGTACAATGATAAAATGCATATGTAGGTAGATACAAACACATAGAAATAAAAGTAAAATATATGAGAACCTAGATAACTGGTTAACTGATGTCCTAGAGATAAGAACTCTGGCCAGGGAGGACGTAGTCCCAATTACTGGGGACACAAGGGGAAAAGGAGGGGATATTGGCCCAAACCTAGTCTCTCTCTCGGCTCCTCGAGGAAGGAGGTCTCAAAGAGGAATGCACTGTTGTTGGACGAGCAGTGATTACACCCCGACTAGCACCGTTAAAGCCTCCTGCCCCAGGCTGTGGCCGTCCCGCTGCTCCGTCCCCACACGCAGCTGCCGATGCAGGTGGCTGCTCAGGGAAGGGAACAGTCGTTCTGCATGGGAGCACGTTCCCCTCGCTGTGCCAAACCACCCTGCTCTGATCCAGCCCTTCCCCATGTGTCCCAGTTTGTCATCCCGCAGAGATTTCCCACCTTGGGGTCTGCGTTGGCTGCTGTTGATCTCCGGGCACAAAGGCTGCTGGCACATCGCTCCATCCTGGCGCTGCTGCGCCCGTGCTGCCACCTGCGGCTGTGGGGCTGTGGTGCCCAAGTTACTGATGTGATTGTGATTTTTCTTTGGTTTTCATATTTTTTTCCAGTTACTTCAGTGGAAAAGAAGTCAGTGCTGTGAGGTTTTCCTGGAAATTTTATTCCTGGTGCATCTAAATGCTCAGTATTGGCATCGCTCATAAATAGCTACCTGTGCTCGCCCCGGGTGACTTGCACTTTTCACATTCCTGATCGCCTTCCTCTGGGTGATATGTCCTGGCTGTGAGAATGGCAGTAACAAGTTGAATTTTCCTTGGAGTGGCTGGTCTCTCTACTAAGCCTTTCTCTGGATCTGACATGCTTTGTGCAATATCAGCTCCCGAGAAATAAATAATACCCCAGGCAATGCAGTGACCTGTGCGAGGTGACTGTCCTTGGGGCGGTAAATTTTTTCAGACAGATGATTTGTGAGAGCCAGCTCTGTGCTTGGTCAGGGCTTGGTTTCAGCAGACAAAGCCTGGCAGCATGTGAAGCCCCTGTTAGCTGTGTGGCAATGGGCACCAGCCTTTCCAAGTGTGACACATCATGCCCCCTGCTCGGTGCATTTGTGTGTTGTGCTGGCAAGTCACGGGAAAGGCCCAGGCCTGACCATCTCAAGTGGTTCAGTGTTGGTCTGTTGAGTTTCCGTAGGCTCGGGGATCACCCTTGCACCCAGATACAGTGGCCAGACTGGTGCAGTTGTGCTTGCGTGGCCCTCCAAATATAAAAAGCGGTAGTGTATTTTTTCTCAAAATTAGTCATATTTTAATATACGGGGGGACGAGGGAAACCCAGCTAAAAGAGTCATGTCCCCTATTGACTTTTCCATTATCTTGGCAAATTTGTGACCAGAGACTGTATCGCTCTAGATGTCACAAACTTGTCCTTATTCTAATCTCAATTAAAGCTGCCACAAATTAAGAGCTGCTGGGTGCAGCAGGAAGCAGCACAATGGCTCTCCTGCTTGCTGGCACTGGCAGGTCACTTGGCGGGGCTGCAGCAGGCGCGGAGCGGTCCCACCTCTTCGTCTATGCCACAGCGAGGCTTTTCCTTTGGCACCCGTGTGGGTGTGAACAGCAATAGCGAGGGGTGTGAGTGCCACTGTGCCGGGCAGGCCCCTGTCTCCTCACAGCCCAAATTCCACCTCCGGCAGCTCCGTGCCGTTGTCTGCCTGGTGCTGCTCGCTGGGACACTCCGGGACCCACTGCCGGGGCGGGGGAAGGTCCCTGTCTAACGAGCACTCTGCCTTTGCGCCCAAGAACTGGGGCTGCTTCTCAGAGAACTGTGCTGCGGTGTTCAGGGATTTCATTTCATTACCTCTCAATTTCCTTAAAAATAAAAAAAATTCTGGAAGAGTACTCGGGCAGTTGCAACAAGGTGAAACCTTTTGCAAAACAGGGTTGTCAAGGAGCTGAGTGGTGGGTGAAAACACCTGGATTTCTGTTGTGCCATGGGCACACGACTCCCCTTCCCGTGCCGTTCTGCAGCCGCGGTCTCCCCTCTCCTCCCGCAGCCCAGCCACTCGCTCACAGAGCGCGAGCCCCTCCAGCCGCACACACGGCGCCTGCCGGCCCTCGCTGTGCACGTGCAGTCCTGACGCCTCTGCTATATTTTTCCAAATTGCTGTTGCTATAATTTGGCTCTTTTCTGTGGCACCGTGATTTTGTTGTTCGGGATTTTTTTAAGACGGACTTCTCAAAGGGGCTTTGTTTGCCTTCGGTTGAGGTGGGATGACAGGATTTTCTCTCAGCATTTCCTCTGGGTAGGCACAGTGGTGGGTAATAAGCTAGTGAGATGAAAAGAAGATGTAATAACCAAACAGGTTCAGTGCTGCAAGTTGATCTCAACTCCTGACCTAGTCAGGAAGAGACAGTGTTAAAAGCCAGATTTTGTTTGTGCTGCTTGTGGGCAAAAGGGTGTGGAAAGCTTCCTGGAGGACGACAGCCAGATATTCTCCCCAACTGGCCAAATCTGTTGGAAGACAAAGTAGAAATAGATAGTAGGTGAGGACAACAGCTGGACGAGATGGACGTACATCGTTCCATGGGCCTTTGCCAGCGTCCTCTCCAGCTCACTCTCTGTCTTTACTTGCCCGGGACTGGGCAGAGCGTTGGATGTGTCTGCACTCCGCTGCCTGGCTCTGCACCAGTTCAGCTCCCCAGTGCGTGGGACTCATGTTGCCATTCCTCGTCCTGTGGTAGCACTTGTTTTCCTGAGGCTGCAGAGCAGAGAAGGGAGGGAGGGAATATAACGAAAATGGGGGAAATTGCAGTGGCAAAAGGAAGACAAGTCATAACAGACTGTGCGGTGCTGTGCTGCCCTTACTGGGGCAGGTGACAGCGGTGGGAGGACCTGAGCCCACAGAGCAGTGACCTCTACTCGGCACTTGGAGTCCAGGGGCTTTGGCAGGGTTGATTTATCTCTGATAAGGATGTTTTTTTGTGGATCGTTCTGTATTTTTTAATCTAAATACTGTTCCTTGAACCTGGGTTTAGCAATACAACCCCCACTTTCAAAATGCTGTTTCATGCTTATGCTTCAGCTGCTTCTTTACGGCAATTGTATTATCTTCCTTGGCATCTCTTAAACATAATTTGTCTGAGTTGGCATATCACATGAATTTTCTCTCTGAAGGGCAAATGCTTTGGCTCTTTCTTTGTTTTAGATGCCATCAGGCAGTGAAATGAGGCATGTCAAATCTGTAAAGGTGGATTCAGGACTAAGAGCATGTGTTTTGTTCCTGATTTGGACACCACAAATTTCAGTATTGTTTGGAACTGAGACTCAGGTTTGGCTCGCTGGGAAAACTCGGATAGTAGGAAAGCTAAAAGAGAGGTTAAAATGTGAGCCTACCTAGTTTGAGAGTCTTAAATAAAGAACATGCAATTTAGCTTTCTTACGACCAGCTCAGTTATAGACCCGTGTTTAAAATGTTAATATTAAAAGACAAGGAGGTAGAAGGTGTTACACCTTCGTGAAAGTGTTCCTATTAGAAGACAAGAGACCGAGGGTGTTAACATGCAATCTGGCTGCTGCCTTAGCTCCTCTGGATTTGCAGCTGGCCCAGATGTTAAAGCCTGGCTGCACCTCTGTGCTCTGCTCCGCTCTTGCTGAGCCCCGTGCTGGGTCCTGGTGCTGGGGACCTGAGAGTCCCCCAAGAGTCCCCACTCCCTGCTGCTCCTGCTGCGAGCCTCGCTCTGCAGCAAGAACAGAGGGCTCCTTTCCCCTCTTATTTGTCCCTGCAGGCGATAAGCATCTTTCTTCTCCCTTTGTATTCTGCAGGTATCCACTACCCTTCTCTGGGATGGCCTAACTGGTAAACAGATCCAGTTAAACTCAATCGTTATCGACTCGATATTCACAACTGTTGTTCCAGGTTTGAAAGAGAGGGGCACAAGGCAAACGAACTCCACGATTTCGAGCTCATCACATCGGTGGAACCTCTCAGCTCCAGGGGTCATGCTAATTAAAGCTGATGAGTTGTTATAAATCCATCAGAAGCCTTTCTCTGAGGCCTTGAATGAGCATCTGGGTGGGGTGTAGTTCAGCCAGCAGTGGCTGGTTAAGTAGCGGGTACCTGAGTGTGACCCCCCCAGCTGACGGGTGCTGGGCACCGCGCGGCCACACCAGCATCTCAGAGGAGCCTTAGCAGGAGTCAGAGCACCCTGCCCGGAATCACTGCTTGGGTGCCCTATCCAGCAGTCGGCAGCAGGTTTGAACCAGCACACTTAATCTGTGTTTGCTGGATGGTAATTTGATTTGCTGTTTCTCTGGATCTATTTATTGCCTCAGATGAAGCACAGGCAGCTTCATCCTGGTGCACCAGAAACACTTGATCCGTAGGGTCCTTCAGACCGGCACTTCACAGAACATTCTCCCTTGCTGAGCAGAGAGTCACCTGCCAGCTCCAGCCGGAGGCCGGAAGGTGAAGCGAGACGCATGTTCACGTTCCTCCCTCTCTGTTCCAGCGCACAGTCTGCAGAGCTGCTGCTCTCCTGTTTCCCTTCTGAGCACTCCGGATGCGGAGGGGGGCGAAGCTTGCAGCCAGGGCTGCTGGTTTATCTTGCACAGTTATCCCACAGCGTGGCCTAGAACACCATAAGGATGTGAAGATCCAGCTGCCCATTTTCATCTTTCGCATAGTATAAATGTTTGGACTAAAATACTTTGCATTTGGTTTCAGCAGGAGCAAGATGAGGCTTTCGTGTTTAACAGGCAGGGCAGACCGAAAACATTCACTCGGTGGTTCCTTGCCTGATCTGCCACTGGCAAAGGCTGAGCCAGGGAACTTGCCCTTGCAGCAGAGCTGCAAAGAAAAAAAGGCTGTTAAACACCAAGTTTTAAACAGCATCCAAATCTCCAAAAGCAACAGAAAGTTGCTAGGGTATCCCTTGTTTTTCTCAGCTCTTATCTTATGGGGAAAAAGTAGAAAGAAGGTAATATCATCAAACATTTGCTGAACCATTTAATATTTGAATGTTTGCTCTTTATTGCAGTCACCTTCGACCATTTTGAAATTTTGCGAGCTATTGGGAAGGGCAGCTTTGGAAAAGTAAGTATTTTGTGAACTAATCACCAGTTGGACAGCTGGAATTGTAGCTGATTGAGAAATGGGTGAATTAGAGGCTCACATGAGAGTAAAGAAATAAACCCCTGCATTGTCAGTGAGCTTTGACCTGAGTTTCAACTCCTGGTAATCAAGAAGGGATCAGAGCCTGATTCCTCATCCATTCTGTAGCCACAAATTGTATTACAGGAGATTAAAATGAGAAACTAATAAATCACATGGGCTGAATTTCATTATGTTTCTGGATAACCATTTTCTAAGATTTCCCAGCCATGATGATGCATCTTTATTAAAGAACCACAATCAACGTGATGGGCCTGGCAATTTTTTTAAAAGCATATTTCTCTGTGAAACACAGTGTTTGTTATTAAGCATCAGGTTATGGTCACACATTTTATTTTTATGCTGTTACGGAATTCCCCATTTGTATGTGCTGAGAGAATTCTAGAAGGCCATTTGCCCCTTGGTGTAAAGGCCCACTCATGCCAGAAATGGGTTGTGCCTTAGGTGCAGAGTGTGACAAAAATCTCTAGTCAAAGAGATTTATTTGGTGGTGAAACAAACACTGACTGAAACTTTTCAAATTTGTCCCGAACTCATCAACTGTTGTGGAAATAAATCTGAAAAAACAGTCTGTTTTGTTTTGCACTGCTAAAAACTGAGTCTTTAATTGAAGCAATGTTTTGTTCTAGATTTGGTGAAATATAAGTGTTAATATTCAAACCCCAGTACCCCTAAAAGCCCAATATTCATTGTGAGCTGAATGAAAATTATCAAGAAGGGGGAGATAAGGGCCTGCTCCCCAGTTTCTAACCTGTAGTTCTGTGAGGGAAGGGACTCTTTCAAACAGTAACTGATGTGCGAGGGATGGACGTGACTGAGATTAGTTTGTACTATTAAATAAAATGTTGGCTTGTGTGCAGTCACCTATCTCATATCATTGTGGTGATAAATTCCTTCTCCTCACCTTCCCCCCCTTCCCCCCTCCAGCAAAATTTCTTCTTTGGCTGAAAACTGGGTGAGAGATTTACTGGTGCTGTCCAGTGTTGCAGCATCAACCCACAGAGCTGTGACTTGGCACCTAAAGGCCCTGGAGAACGCTCATGTGACCATATTTTACCTGCCTAAATTTTCTGACAAATCATCTCTGATTTATCCTTTGATTTGCTCACTTAGGTCTGCGTTGTGCAAAAGAACGACACCAAGAAGATGTATGCCATGAAATACATGAATAAACAGAAGTGCGTGGAGCGTAACGAAGTGAGAAATGTTTTCAAGGAGCTGCAGATTATGCAGGGCCTGGAACACCCCTTCCTCGTTAATTTATGGTAAGATATTGCTCCTTTCTTACCGGCACAATTCAGCGCTGTCAGGTGGAGACATCTCTGAGGCCCGGCCAGGAGCGGCGGGTGTCTCGCTGGCGGCGGGTGGGCTGCGTGGTGCTGGTGAGCGTCGCCGATGGCCGGTGGGTGCTCTGGGGAATCCCCCCCTCGCCTTGCTGCCCACCCTGCTCTGAGTACAGCCCAGCACACCGTTGCCTTTCTGGGCTGCCAGCGCATGGTGCTGGCTCACAGGCACTTTTCCATCCCCAACCCCTCCAAGTCCTTCTCCTGGGGGGCTGCTCTCCATCCCCTCCTCGCCCAGCCTGGGTTTGTGCTGGGATTGCCCCGACCTGTGGGCAGGACCTTGCCCTTGGCCTCGTCAAACTCCATGGGGTTGGCCCGTCCCCCCTCTCCAGCCTGCCCAGGTCCCTCTGGATGGCACAGCCCTTCCCTCAGAGTGTCCCCGCACACACAGCTCAGTGTCGGTGGAGAACTTGCAGAGGGTGCCTGGATCCCACCGTCCCTGTCCCCAACAAAGATGTTGAACAGCACCGGTGCCAACCCCGACCCCCAAGGACGTCACTTGTCACTGCTCTGCACTTGGTCACGGAGCATCCACCACAACCATGCAGCCAATGCCCATCCCGAAGAGCTGAGTGGGAGCCCAAGGGGAGCAGACAGCGTTCATCCCGAGCTCCAAGCTGGATTTCCACTGCTGTATCGAGTAACCAATTGCTCGGCCAGCTGGGACTTTGCAGCAAGTGAAGGGAGATTTATGGATGATTTTCACCAAGTGCCAGCACAGACGTGACAGGGGTGGTGTCTGGAGCTGCAGCACTCGTGGTCGGAGGGGCAGCTGTTTCAGCCTGTGACCAGCCTCCCCGGCCACGTGCAGTGCGTGGCAGGGCTGCCACCTCCCTCCTCGTGTCTCCTCAGTGGGAGCGTTTCATTGCTCGTAGCTGCTGGCACCAGCTGTTAAATGCTGAGTAGACAGACCCCTGTGATTCAGGAAGAAGCAATAACTGAGCATTAGTATGAGGTCCTCCCCAACATAAAAATGTGTGGTCTGCACCTCCTGGACCCTTTCTGGTCTGTGCTGGCAGTCACTGCCCCTTGCATCCCACACAGACACACCTGGGAGCCGTGCTGCCTGCCAGCCTCCTGCCATCTCCTGTCACAGCCCTTAGCAGGAGGAGATGAGCAGCAATCTGCGTTGGAGTGAGGGGTTTGGGGGTTGGATGTGGCTTTGCTTTTGAAGTGGCTGTTAGTAACACGTTCACATTAAAACACTGGATTCCTGTTCCTCTAGTGAGCCTGCTGGTCATTGTTCAGACAAACTGCTCTGGCTCTTTACATATCTGAAGCTAAATTATTGTAATCTCATGTATGACAATAGGAGCTTAGTTGCAGTGGGAAAGGGGTCATGGAATGGTCATGAAATTTTTCTTCCCCAAGTGAAAAAGTTCCAAGAAATGATGAGTATTCCCAGAGCTACCATATGTCCCTTTATAACCTGTCTTTTTTCAGTATTGTCATCCTTGAACCCTTGCCATTTTAGGTACTCGTTCCAGGATGAAGAAGATATGTTTATGGTTGTAGACTTGCTGCTTGGAGGGGACCTGCGTTACCATCTCCAACAAAATGTGCGGTTCCAAGAAGGCACCGTGAAGCTCTTCATCTGTGAGCTGGTGCTGGCCCTTGACTACCTCCAGAGCAGGCACATCATCCACAGGTCAGTGGGGACCTCATGGCTGGGCTGGTGCCTGTGAGCTCTGGTAGGGGCAGGCTTCTTCCTCTTTGACATGAAAGGGCAAATAGATGCTTAAGAGCTAAACAAAATATTCTCCACATACATTTGCTTTTATGTAAAACACTAGGCTTCCCGGAGAAGCCATCTCATAGACAACTGAGAGCGTCTTATTTCTCCCCCTGGGATAGCTATGATACAGCTTATTTGATTTGTTTGCTGATCCTGCAAAAAGCTGTCTCTAATAGATTTAATTAGCTGTAGCTCATTAGCTGGTCCAGGGGGATTAGGTGTCAGCATTCAGAATTCCCTGCTGTCACACTCGAAGGGGTCTCTCCCTTTTGCTCCCCGCTCTGTACCGTGCTGAAAGATGAGGAATGGGACCAAACACAGCTTTTTTCTCTGTGAGGTTAAATTCCCCTCTAGAAGTGGCAAGTTTCTTTTTGGCTACCAAGAGTTTTCATGGCGAGTTAAAACATATCTGAGCTCTTCCCACACATTCAAAGACCTGCAAAATAAGAGGAGGTAGAGCTATTCCGTGGTTGGAGAGGCAGGGTTTGGCAGTGCAGACCTCTAGGGTCTGAGGGTTCTGACTTAGTAGATGCTAACAGGTGTGCAAACAGGGAGGGACTAGCAGAGGGTTAAAGGCAAGGAGAAGATAATTTCATTTATAAACATCACTCCAGAAGAGCATTCGTGTGAATATAAAAATAAAGCATGGTACAAAATTCAAACCCCTGGTAGTTAGCAGGAAGGAACACGCCATGAACAGGCGTTAATCTTCACCAGCCCTTCAACCTGTTCATGGCTGCAGCGTTTGGCTGCTGATTCTGAGACACGAACACAGAAAGGCTGGTGCTCAGTGTGCCCGCAGTGAGCCCCCGCCCCGAGCACCCAGAGGTTCTGGAGCCCGACCTCCCTGGGGACAGCTCCCACTTTCTCAGGAGTCTCGTCTTTCCTGCTGCTTGTTTTGTTTTGTACCCGCACAGGGCTCTTGATGACCCGAGCTTGGCAGGCAGCTGCCCCGTTCCGCTGCGGCGGCCTGGGACACCAGCACCAGCAATGGGTGGGCAGGAGTGAAACACGGCGAGGGCAGACGGGGCTGTCCCTGTCCTGGGCAGCGAGGGGTAAATCCTCCCACTGCTGCCTTGGCCTGGGCAGGCTGAGTGGGGCACAGGCCCAAGGGAAGCGCAGGGAGGAAATCCTTCTCTAGTAGTGATGTATTACAGTCAGTGCTCATAGGACTGGGGGGCCAGAGGTTCCTCATGATCCAACGCTGCAGGGAAGACTGTTCCTCGTAGGGATGAAGGAGGCAGGAGCACGGGGGTCCCGGGGCTGTGGGCCCCGTTCTGGGCCATGTCCCTGCTCTCACGTCAGCATTACCGAAGGGGGTGCGAAGAGGACAGACAAAAGGCAAAACTCCTGGGCATTCCCAGAGGGTTGTGTGTAAATATAGGTGGGATAGGCTGAGGTTTAGGCTGCAGTGTGTATTTCAGGGAGCTATACATGCTTAAGGTGAATCGTGTATGGCAGAGTTATTCAAATAACGCTGTAATGCAAGTTGTTTAATTAACAGCGTAACCCAGTGGGACAGTATGATATTGTAAAGTGACTCTGCTGAGTCAATTACACTACAACATCTGTAAATGGGAACATCAGGAGACAGAAAAGGGAATCCTTATTTTGTCTGAACATAGCTGTGCAGAGCCAGCAAACAGCCTGATGGCTGGAATTATTTCCCACCTACATGTAGAAGAGTGGGAAAAACTTGTTATATTTTCAGGCTAGGAAATGGTATAACTAGTTTCTAAAAAATATATATGCAAATAATCAATAAACAAAATTATCCCTGTTCATTGCTTGCATCCTGGGAATGATCTCACTGTGCTGGAGTAGTTCCACAGGCTGCATACCAGACTGAGATCAGAAAAGGCTCCAGTGGAAATAAAAAGAATATTTTTAAAAGGTTGAAAACTGGGTAAGAAACGAAACTCCATCTTTATGGTTAATTTCAAAACTGAAAAATACTTTTGTATCAAGGGATTAAAAGAATCTGGTTTTTTTCAAACTCTTTTTGCTAAAACATTTCTTAAAGTTTTTGGTCAAAGTAATGTTTTCTCAAAAATACCAAGTGTGTCATGGCTGTGTTTCGCTTCTGCCCACCCGGACTGCTCAGCCCTAGCCCGTGGCACAGTTCTGTACCTACGGGGAGAACCAGCCGCTTGCCTGCACCCCCTCCTCCCTCTGCTCTCTTGATTAAATGGCCAGGTGCTGGCTCCACCTGATAGCAGGTGAATGGGGACTGGTGTAATGACCTCATTAAAAACAACTAATGACTTGTAAAGTCACTCAGGTGGACACAGGAGGCATATCAGGTGTGTACGTTTTCTGCCTTCCACAGAAAGGTAGAGGTATTATTGTTTTGGTTGGCGTTTGTTTTTTTTTAGTTCAGGAACAAAACCTGTGGACAACCCATTTGTTTCTGGAACAAAGATGTTAAAACTATTTGGTTTTTATTGAGTAAATGGGGAACAGCTCTCAACAGAGTACTGAAACAGATTAAGAAATAAAAGGAGGAAAAAGAGAAAAGGAAGCTCTGATATTGTAGGTGGACTGCCAGTCCAAACCTCAGTGGCCTTCACAGCCATAGCCCTGTACCACTGTTTCTGCTTTTGTGGTTCGATCAGCCTTCCTCTTATCCCTAAACCAGACCCTGCAGGAACATCAGAGCTGAAGAGCGCAGCAAAGGCACCTTCCAGGGCTGATGTCTCTGTCAGGGCGTCCCTCCGTAGCCAGGGCTTTCCTGCAGTGCCTCCAGCCATGCTTCCTGCAGGCTAATGGCTGTCTCCCTTTCTCTGCCTTTTTTCTTAGAGACATCAAGCCTGACAACATTTTACTGGATGAGCATGGTAAGTGCCAGTTGCTTTGCGGTCGTGCGTATGCATAAAAGCAGGGTCAGTTAAAGTTTAGGTGCTTGCTGGTTTTCTCACTGTGTGTTGCTTTCTCTCCCTCAGTTCAGTTAGGAACAGGACTGTGCTTTCATTGCTGTCCTTTGCTTTCTGAGTGGCTGCATCTTGTGCCTTCAGGGCCCTGGGCACCCTGTGATGCTGTGGTATTTCTGGGGTGCCTTAGTCTTCAGTCAGCACCCCCTCTGACTGGTGTCTCTGGTGTCCCTTGGGCCGCTTGTGGTCAGGTGTCTAGCAGACCTTAGTTTAAGACCTTCTTGGCTCTTGCTTAAAACTTAATCAAATTGTGATCATTTGAATTGAAATGCTCATGTAATTGCATTTGGCTGTGTGTAATGTATGCTCACAAATAGAATGAAGTATGGTTGAATAGTTACTCTTCATTCAGGTATTTTCTTCTTCCTTGAGTATTTGACATTGGGAGGGAGCTCCAAAGAGGATTTGGGGCTAAGTCTATTATAGATGTTGCTATCATTTTTTCTTTAGTCTTTTTCTCAGGAAAAACTCTTAACTATACTCTTGTATTACTCTCTAGACACATATTTTTTTGTCCTGGCAAAGCTCTCACAGTGAAGAGTTGTCTGATATTTATTAGCTTTTAGCTCATTAGAAAAACGCTTTGTCATTTCCTAGTTTTTGAAAATCCGTGTAACTGGCTTGCTGTGAGAAATCTTCATTAGCAGCTACAGCAAGGCACTCAGAGAGGGAGAGTCAGTGCAGGGACAAGGTGTTTCTGAATTCGTTATCACTTCAGAGGCTGCAATAGAGATGCTGAAGCTCCTGAGGAATTGCTGTGGCTATTGTGTGTGACTAGGGTTGCCTGGCAGCACCTTGAGCCCAGACTCTACCCGTTTTGCATATGACCTCTAATTTCAGAGTGCTAGCTAATTATTTATTTAGGAGCTGTCAGTAAAGCTGCTTCTGCCTCCAAGTGCAGCAGCCTCTCTCCTGCCTCACTCGGCACTTCTGCCCTTGCCTCGTGCACAGCCCCATGCAGGGGCATGTACTCGCCCCCAGGCTCCCCCGGCCAGGGCTGTGCAGGGCCACATCCCCTCAGTCCTCACCAGCAGACACTCTCGGGTGACCTGTCACCATCTTCCAGGAACCCCTGTGCCCCGTAGGACTGGGGCAGCACAGCTGCCGAGAGGGAGCTGGAAGCACCAGAGCTGTGGAAATGTAGGTCAGCATTCCCCAGAGAGGTAAAAAACAGAGGGGAGGAAGCTCTGCTTGTCTCTGCATTTGCCTTCAGTTCAGCAGGACATAACCTGCAAACTTCTGTAATGACACTGCAATTTTGGTTGATTTTTGAGCCTATTCTCTGCTCGCTGTGATGTTTTAACTGTCTGTTGCAGAGGTTTCAGAGTTATTTTCTGTGGATGTGCCCCTGACTTCAGTGTCCTGCTGACTATGACTTGCAGTATTTCTTTTCTTCATCCATGGCAGCAAAGGTGTGTCCTCTCATGCATACAGAAAGCTTTGTGCAGACACAGTTCAGGTTTTTCTTATCCCCAGAGCAACTGCTGTTGTAGCATGTTTATCTATATTTAGCCCAGTAGATTGTGCTTGTTTCTCAGTATCTCTTTCCCGTAGAATGGAGCTGCAGCTCCCCACTCTCTCTCCTCTCCCTTCACCAGGCTTTCACAACTGTGATCACAAAACATATGCTATTTGCTAACATCAATTTTTTATACTGTTCCTGACTGACACCTGTCCCCTGTGAGTGTGGCGCACCTGGAGGCCTTCAGCAATCGGGCTTTGTCCTTCATTTTCTAGACTCTTCCTGCCCCTTGACTCTTTGTCACATCTTCCTTTCCAGCTGTGAGTCCTTCACCCTTTCAGATTTACATGTCGAAAGGTGCCCATGTCTGATACAAACTGTAGCCCCCTTTTTGCTGCCATTACTCGCTGACGAGGCTGCAGGAGCCCTTGTGCACATCCTCTGATCTTTGTGTAGGAGGCGGGTGTGAGTTTTCTGCCTCTCGTGATGCCACACGTTGAAATGGGTTGTCCTGCTGCTGACTCTCATGAACGTGACACCATTTGCCTCTGTCACCCTGCTTGGTGACAATCTGTATTACCATATCCATTTCAGCTAAGAAATTAAAGTGAGCCATAAATAAAGTGGAATATCGAGCAAGTGTGTGTCTGTGCAATAAATCAAGCGGTTGTTCAACATCAGAGATTGGGATCAGGTCCCACAGTGAAAAATTCCTCAGCAGATGACCACCTTCAACAGTTATTCCAAGCACAAAGTGATTTTCTCCTTTAATAAGTCTATTGATTTGGCTCAGTGACAGCACAGCTCACCTGTGAGTAAAAGACTATAACAGATGGCAGTTTCCAGGAATTGTGACTAATTCATCAGGAGTTTTTGGCTAGGTCATTTGTCTAATAAAATTGAAGGAAAGCTCAGTTTTATCTCTAGGAAAACTGAGAGGTGTTTTGCAAGAGCCCTGTAGTGGCTTTGCTCAGTATTGTTCCTTGTACCACTGTCAAAAGGTTCTCGAGGGCAGCGCCAGGAGGGGTGAGTTTGTGCCGAGGCAGGTGCTGTGCGCGGGGCCCCTCTGCTCTCTCATCCCAGCCCAGTCTGTCCGAGAACCTCCGTACCCTGCAGCTCTCATGTCTCTTGTTTCATATTCTTTGAAATGTTATCTTCATTGAATCTGCAGGTTTTATATTTTTTGCACAAAAGATGCTCTAGAAAGGTGAAGGAATTATGTAGTAACAGGTGCTGGATATAGTAAGAACATTCTTTGCCTTAATGCAGAACCGAGGGCTTGATTCGAAAGTGCCAGTTTCAGGCAGACAGGATGAGCTTTGGGCAGGACCTGGGTCCTGGCCTACAGCTCTGGCTGGGCTGTCTCAAAACCGGCTGCAGTTAGTTGCTGAGCAATCAGGAGAACACAGGCCTGAGAGTCTGAGCCTAGAGCCTGGCAGCAACACCCAGCACATCCCTGCTGTTTCCAGTAGCTGCCACCGCGGGTCACCCAGGACACCCCGTTCTGTAATGCTGCCGCCGCTGCTCAGCCTCTCGCACCATCTGGATCCGCCTTCCTCAGCATCACTGCCTTGATTTGGTAATTTCCAAGTGGGCTAGTTCATAAACCGTGGTATTTATCTGAAGAGAGTCATTTAAAAGATGCATCCAGAGAAAGGGATGTTTGTGCTTGGAATATCAAATTCTTAATCAGTCTTTATGATTCCTATTTAGGAAAGCAGCTCAGGGCAAAGCGGAGCGAGAGCTAGAGATGAGACAGAGAGCAATGCAAGGACGTAGAGGACAGGACAGTCGTATGTCAGTCTGTTCTCTGAGGCAGTCCCCAGCCATTTGACGCCCGTTCTGTAGCGTGCAGACTGAGGAAGAGCAGGCCTGGCTGGTGTAAGCAGCAAGGAGGGACACCCCGCTCGGGCATGTGTGCTCCGGGGTGCTGCTGCGGGGTGCGGGGAGGAGGCTCCTGTGCTTTGCCCACACACATCTTGGAGAGATGCAGGCAGGAGCCTGCACGTGATACAGTGTTGTTAGGTAAAAATCACAAATTCTACTTTTATTCCACAGATTTTTCTCAACTAGATCAGATAGTTGCAGCAGGCAAACTTGTATCATGGTTCTCATAAAACAGATAGATAGGCACAACTGTAAAGATTTACTTAAATGTTTCTTAGCATGCAGAGGTGACAATGGGAATTCATTACCAAAGCAGCAGCTTTTAGACATATAAATGTGATCTTATTCTGCTTTATCTCGAGAACTAAAGCTGCAATGAATTTCTAGCTGTTGAAGCTAATGACCGAGGGAAGTGTTGTCATAGCACCTCCGCTCTTCGGTTAGAGGAAACAGCAGCGATTCAGCCACCCTCTGTCCATGCCGAGGAGGGCGGTGAGGCGGCAAAACAACATACAAAACATCTGATGCTTTTGGTAACGAGCCCACCCTTGTCAGGGATGAGCAGGTGCCTTGGGAGAAGATGCAGGAGGCCAGGAGGAAGAGAAGACTGCCTGCATTTAATCCGAAGAATTAGGCTGCACTAACACACAAGTTTCAAAGCAGTTCTCTGCCGTGAAGCCAGCCTTGTATTGATCACCTGTGCTGCAGTGCGTGCTTGGTCTGCTCCCCGGTACCAGTTCAGTGAATAAGGAATAATAATGAAGTGCTTGGAAAAAAGAAAAAGTTCAAGCAGAAGATCAGGCAAGAGCTAGGTGGAAGCATTTCCTTTCTCATCCCTGCAAATCACATCCACCTCATTTCCTTTTCAGTTTGCAGGCAGCAGTTGTGTGTGTCGTAGCAGTGACAGCAGAAACCATTCCTCCCCCCAAGCTGGGTTTTCACGATGTCTGAATTTCTTGCGCGAGGCTCTTTTGCTGCCAAAGGTGTTTTGTTCCATTCTAGAGACATCCTCTGTGGAGGAAAACAGAGAGAGTGCTTATTACCTGCAACACCAAAGGGCAAGTAGCTAGAAAGCCAAAAATATCAAGGATTTTTTTTTTTTTTCCAAAAGCATAGTGGAATTTTTTCTGTAAGAAGAGTTCAATTCTCTTTTCCTCCAAATTTAGGATGATTCAAAACAATCATCATTAAATGATCTCTTGGAGAACTCCATTTTTTTCTCCCCAAAGGGTAAATTTGATGTAACAACATATATTTGTAACCAATGTGCAAGCTGAAATATTTTCTATCAGTTCCGCCACCAGAATCTTTTTTTTCTGGAAACTCCTTTCCATACAGTATTTTACTTTAAGTATCTGATTTAAAGCTGTTTTTCATGTGAAATTAAAGCAAATCAGGTTACACATTAACCTCTGTCTTTCAGGACACGTTCACATCACCGATTTCAATATTGCCACAATGCTGACTAAGGAAATACAAGTCACCACCATTGCTGGCACGAAGCCGTATATGGGTAAGAACCAAGGACAATTATGTTCTATCGAGTTACCATTTTATGGGCTTGTTTGACAGCTGTCGTGAGATACAGATGAAATCCTTTTTGATGAGAGTTTGAACTCTTCTCCTGGTTTGTTTAAGATGAGGAGCAACCTTGCGAGGTGCTGGGGGGGGCGTGGCAGGAGCCCCTCTCTGGTCACACCCTGATGCAGCTGGAAAATGTGCATCTGTCTACTGATTTGACACCACAGAGCGAAGCACACGTACTGCGAAGGCAAATTTTAGTGCTGTTATGCCATTCTGTGCAGCACGGGTTTGATTATAAAATAAGATAGTTACATTCTTGAGATCTCGGAGCTTTTCACGAACAGCGGCCAAGCCATGTAGCGAAGATTAAATGCTCTTGCTACCCTTGAGAAGTAAGATGAAGCACAGAGGCTTGTATTTGGTCCCTCAGTACATTAGCACAAGTCTTAAGCTACTGCATTGCTAGCAAGAATATGAATTTTTATATGAACTGGCTGCTTTAAAACCTAGCATTACTCTGTGCTGAGGCCAAGTGAGTGGATTTAAGGCTTGAATCAGAGAGAAATGTCCTGAGCTAATGCTAAAGAACTGTGCAAACATGACACAGGAGAGTCCTTTTAACTATAAGTTCAACTTTCTTAACTAATCAAAACCACTGAAAAGCATTTCTCTACAGGCAACACAACCCCTCCCACACAAAATACCTACTTTCATATACAGCAGCACTGTCTCAGACCTAAGTAACAGAGCCTCCCTACAGCTGTTGCCTTGGGGCAATCCCCTGGGAATCTCCTTTTCATCAAGATGACCAAGTTGACCTTGCACCTTTGCATCACCAGTGTGATCCCTTTAAAAAGGCAAACATGCACAGAAAAGAAAGCAGGGCTGCCTGGGTTTTTTAGAGCAATTCTTGCCTCCCAGCTCACACAAAAATCCTACAGTACTTTTTTCCTTACTCTCAAAAGGGAAATCTATTGGCCAAGAAAGAACATTTCAGTCTGTGCCTCCACCCACTTCCTATTAGCCCGGTAGCCTCCTCCTAAGAAGCTGTGGTGCTCAGGCTTCGTTCAGTTAAAATTTGCTTTTCCCTGCCAAGGGTGCAGTTGGCACTATGTCTGCGTTTACGCTGCATATTAATGTTTCTACAGAGCTGCTTTCATTCACTGTGTGAGGCTGTTTAGGCTCTGCCAGATTGAAGTACTTTAAATATGAACAAAGAGATGTGAGTGGGATGGAAGCAGCTTTCCAACATGATGATCTACTAAGCAGAGCAGCTTTCTGGGGGAGGCGAGGAGATACTCAGGCCAATTTTATGGTTGGATGCAGTGAATTTGGGTTGGTCCTTGTCCCAGAGCCCATTAACTGTGGGATAACAGGCAGGTCCTACGTCAGTAAAAGTTTATTCTTTCTGGGATCTGGGAGCAGAGAAGCACAGAGAGATCCACATGGAGGGGACAGGGGGTCTCTGTGGTTCCCTGGGAATAGGATCACAGCAGCTCTGGGAGGGCTCTGTGCTGGGACGGTTGGAGTTTTGGTGTAGGAAATTAATTGGGTCTGGTGAATCTCTTTGTGATTACAGGAGCTGGAATAAAGCATTCTGTAATCCAAATGAATTGGATTGTGCTTGTTGAACAGTAACTGTTCCAGTTACAAAGGGGATAGCACACCTGTTTCTCAAGGACATCCCATCATTTACACACACTAACCAATTAAGTTTTGTAACAGTCCACTGAAGCAGAGATTATGGACAGTCCCATTTCACCAGTGGGGAAAGACACAGAGGAGCTGAGGCGCTTGTTTGGCTTTTAACAGAGTAGAGAATGTTTCACACCGTGCTAACTCCACGCGTAACGCGCAGAGTCAAGGTTTTGGGGAGTATCTGTTCCCAGGGCAGGTGAATATCTGGGACGAGCTGGCGTGCTGGGATCTGGGTCAGGCCTGGCTCACACCCCGCCGGGCTCGGTGCCGTGCGGGACGCGAGGTCAGCCGCTCCCGCTGTGAGCAGCCACAGTGGCTTGCAGGGAAGCTCAGGGTGGTTTGCACCCGCGGGGTTTGCTCTTCTCTCTGCGCTGAGGCTCCTCGGAGTGGGATCTTTCTGCACTGCAAGGCTGAGACAGCGGGCAAGGAACCCAACAGAGGCCAAAAGGTGAATTGCTGCAAGGAAACCCATGCGTTCTGATTCGTGTCCACCTCAGGAGTGTCTCGGTAAAGGACTAGTCTACCAGCCATATGCCATTGGTTTGAAGGAAAAATCTGAAATTATCAGAGGTAGTGAGCATTATGCTGATTTGTGTCCTAGGCAGACTGGCGGGGCTGCTCTCTGTGGCATGAATCAAGCATCTGTGTTGCTCATTTCCACTTTCATTGCAGCAAGGCAAACTTTCCTTTTTCTGTGTTTCGCAGCACCTGAAATGTTTAACTCCACAAAACCCACCGGCTATTCCTTCGCCGTGGACTGGTGGTCCCTGGGGATCACTGCCTACGAGCTGCTCAGGACCCGGGTACTGTGCGCGCGGCTCCCGTCCGTCTCTTTCCTCACACGCTCTGTTGGGAAGGTTGATGCTTTGTAACAGGGGTGAAGGGGCCGAACCAAGCTCAAGGCTTGCAGGGTTATTACAGCACAGGAAGCAGAAACCACACCTTTGCCAGGGTTCTTGTGATCACAGCTGAGGGCTCAAACGGTCACGATACAGAATGGTGTGTCACAGCGGTTCCCTGCTGCGCCCCGGGGTTGGTGTAAGCTGGGCAAGGCAACAACTGACAGCTCCCAAACTGGGCTGCAGTGTGATTTACTTTGAGCTCCCATCCAGCAAAGAAAAAACGAAAACTTGAAAAAAAAAATCTGATGTCTCTTATAGTAAGAGTGAGCAGTTTGAGCAAAAGCAAACTGCAATGTGTAAATTATTAATAAAGCACAACCCCTGCCTGTCCTGTCAGTGCTCTGCCTGTAACCCAGGTAAGGTTGGGGGCCTTGTAGGCAGACGGTCAGGTTAGTGTTTTGGAACTGTTGTGTAAAAAAAGTGGGACAAAATTGTTTAAATTTCATTCTTCTAAGCAAAAGGTTGTTTAAAATCTTGAGGCTAGGAAACTTCTTTCAGTACAAGTCTGCAAAACATTTTTTTAAGAAACTCTATCATCATTCTTTGCAGAATGCCTAAAAAAATATTTTGATGAATCTATTTTAAATAACAGATTTTTCAAATGAAATTGCATGTCTTGAATTGTGAGCAATCAAGCTAGTTCACATTAAGGGGCTATGACTGACCTGCTGGGTAGCTGATGCCATGTGCCCCCTGTAGGCCTGCTGTGTAACATTTGAGTTTTCGGTTTGTCACGTTCAGTGGGTGGCAGGACTGTGCATCACGGTGGCTTTTGACTCGTCGGCACTATTCCCAAAGGTGGGAACAGAAACACCCGCGGGTGTTCACACCCGAGGGCTGAGCCTGGCGAGGTGGTGGCGCCTGTGGCACAGGGGGTGGTCACCTCGGGGTCCACCCAGTGCCAGTACACGTTCAGCACAATGGTTTGATCTCACAATTTATAGGTACTATTTTTCAAGTGTACTTTTAACACCCTCACCTCCCAAAACGCCGTAAAAGTCTGGGAGTCAAACATCTTTCAAAATGGAGGCACCCTACCATCGTGAGTTCTCCCTCTGCGCGAGGCAGTGGTGCTCTGGGGTGTGCCCGTGGAGGTGACGTTCCCAGCAGGGTGGCGGGGGCCACACATTGCCCCTCGGGTCAGGCCGGTGCTGGCGGGTGGCTCAGGGCCGTGTGCCGCTCCGCTGGCGGGCGCCTGCGCCCTGGAGCTGTCGGTGGGAGCGGTCCTGCTCCTCCACACGTGTGTCAGCTCCAGCCTGAGTGAAGAACTGAGACCAGGGGCGCGTTTTGCAGGGAGCGTTGGGGGTGCTCTAACCACAGCGCTGTATGTATGGAATCCATTCTGATCGCCCCTTAAGATACAAACAGCGAAAAGGCCAAGAAAACCCAAGCTGGCTGATGACTCTAACCCTTGGGCTTTGCCTTCTGTCTGTGCTCATTAAATATCTCGCTGTTATTGTTGTTACTGCTGACATTACTGTTTTTATTTCAACTGAGCTGCAATCACACAGGGAGAGACTTCCAACGGGAGGCTTGGGGAGTGTACGGAGAGACTTTGAAGCTTCTTTACTCTGAAAAGATTACCCAAGGAGTCTGAAAAAACAGATAAATTAAAATGCTTTCCTTGTGGCATTTTTCACAGAGGCCGTATCACATTCGCTCCAACACTTCCATAAATGAAATGGCTCACGTGTTGAGGACGGTGCCGGTGATGTACCCTGCCGCCTGGTCCGCGGGGATGGTGGCTCTGCTCAGCAGGGTGAGGGCAGCCGCGGCCCGGCCGGGAGCCACGGCCCTCCGTGGTGCTTCGCAGCAGGTCGTGGGGAGTCAGACTGTGTCCAGAGCCAGGGGACCCTCAGGAGACCCTCAGGGCACCGCCTGACCAACACCGGGTGGCTTTAGCGCTGGGGTGGGAGCGGGGAGCGGCGCTGGGTCCGGCGGGGCTGAGCTCCTGCGGGCGAGCACGGCTGCTGCGGAGGCACCCGCCTCCTCTAAGGGCACGCGCAGCCTTTGCTTCCAGAGCTGCTCTGTACCTTTGCCTCTCTGCGATGACATAGCTTAGCATAGGTATTAATACATGTATCCATAAATTTGGAAAAAAAACACCTGCTTTTTAAAAAAAAATTAAAAACCCATTTTTCCCAGTAATGAAAAGATTTGCAAGAAGTGCTGATACTATTGAAATCCTTTGACACCATGTGGTTTATGCACCATTGCATTTTTAATAAAGCTGTTACCAAAATTGCTTCAAAATCATTACTGGGATCATTTTGAAGCTGGAGTCACGTTTGAAGTGAAGCCGTATCTTCAATACACAAAACTGTTGCTTGACAGTGTCAGACACGGTTTGCCTGCAGCGGCAGCAGAGCTGAAATACTGGACCCAGGGTAACAGCACTAGCTGCAGACTTTGGAAAAATATGCAAATAGTTTTCTAACTTTCAAATAAGTGTAGGCAATAAAGTAGTAGTTAATGTAGCTTTCATCTGGTTTTATCTGGTGTAACTCTGCACAGACTCACCCCTGTGTACCTAATCTCTGATTCTGCCTCTCAGGGTCTCACTTTCTCTCCTCTTCCATTTAACTCTCGCTGCAGTTGCTTGAGCCGAACCCCGAGAAGCGTTTTTCTCAGCTGAAGGATATCCAGGACTTTCCATACCTGTCAGATGTGAACTGGGATGCTGTTCTCCAGAAAAGGATAACTCCAGAATTCATTCCCACGGTGAGGCAATTTGATTTTAAGAGGTTCTCAGTGTGCCCAGGCGTCACACACGGGGCACCAGGTCACGGGCCCCTCAGAGCCCCGCTCCCCCCAGCCCCTCAGATGCAGAAACCTCACGAGCAGGCGCGGGCTCGTTACCCTGCAGGTCACCCACCATTTTATCATCATTGTTTCTCCTCTGATGACTGTCCCTAACAAACCCATTGTTTGTAGCAAAACAACGCATTCGGTAGACAAGTGTTTCTGATCCTTTTTTAATTAGTTTAAAACAGCAGAGAAGTAACATAACCCTTGGGAAAATCATCCAAGGAGTGTTGTGTACAGCGTTACTCCTGCTGCTTTTCAGCCAAATAAAAGTTGAGCTAAACTATGAATATTTGTTAACTGTATGTATTTTCCCCCTCTGTGGCTGGTTTTCTCTCTGGTGGGTGCACGCTTTAAAACCAGTTTTGCAGGCTGCTGTGCTCCTCTGCAGTGGCACAGCCCAGCTGAGACACAGCCACGTCCTCGCTCAAAGAGAGCAATTGTCGCACCTTGCCAGCGTCCCCTGACTGAAGGAACTGATGAAATGAGAAGTGCAGCAGGTGTTCTGGCTGTGTCTGCAGTTGTAATTATTTTTTACAAAGTGCAGCTCCCAGATGCAGTCTGATTTATGAAAGACTCTTCGAGATAGGCTCTGATCACTTAAGACCACCTCTCTTTCCCCTCCAGAAAGGCAGACTGAACTGTGACCCAACCTTTGAACTGGAAGAAATGATCCTAGAATCCAAACCTCTTCACAAGAAAAAAAAGCGCTTGGCTAAGAAGGAGAAAGACACCAGCAAAAGCAATTCCTCCCAGGTGAGAGCAAGCAGGTACAAGCACATGGTCAAGGGAGTCTCATTTTCCAAGAAAGCTGATTGCCATCTACACGGCCACAGCAAACTGTTTAAACAGAGCAGTTTTTCCCTTGTGACCAGCCTTATCCCCAAACTCTTCTGCATCTTCCCTTTGATGGGAGGCAGCACGTGTAAGCACCAGTTTTGTATGAGGAGGGTTAGTGCTGTTCTCCCCACTGCAGTGCCCCATACCTAAAGATACCTTTACATCTCCCTGAAACTGTCCTTGTAACACCTTTCTGTGTCAACTGGAAATTTATTCCCCATCTCTTTATTTTTCTGTTTGAATGTGGAAGGCCTGCCACCTTCAAAAGCACCTAGAGATGCTCCAGAGGGACTTCATTGTTTTCAACAGAGAAAAGTAAGTACTGGTGCAGAGGCAGCACAAGAGACTGGTCCTTGCCAGAGCCTTTGGCAGACCTGGGCTTTGGGCAAACGCTGCACATGTGGCTTTAGGAGCTCGCTGAGGAGAGCAGGTGCTGGTGGCTGGCGGCTGAGCGCTGGGCTCAGGGCCCCAAAGGGCAGTGACTGCCCCGTTCCTGCAGGCAGTGTCACTGCGAGGGGCTGGGGGCAGCAGGGCCCAGCACAGCCCCTGTGGGGATCGGGGTGCTCCCAGGCAGCCGCAGCACTGCGTGGGCCCTGGCATGGCCTGGCCTTTCCCTCACAGCTCGACTGTCCCTTTCTCTCCCTAAGGGTGAGGCACCGCTGCAGCGACAGCCAGGAGACCATAACGCTGCCCAAAAGCAGAGGCACGTACAAGGAGGGCAGCCAGAACAACCACCTCTGAGAGCCGCACGGCCCTGCTGGAGCGTTCCTGGTGGGCCAGTGCACACCCACCTGCACCCCTGCGCAGCGCTGGCCCACGGGCTGGCCCACGGGACGCTGAGGGTAGCCCAGGGCAGGGTGGCCAGGCGGGAGCTGGGGCACCCGCTGCCTTCCACCCCACAGCCTAGCCGTGGGGGGAGAGGCCGTGGGAGCTGCCCCCATGATTTGCTGCCGTCAGTTAGACTGGGACCCTGTTATTTTGCCTTTCATGGTGGCAGGAATGGCGTACAGAGGGATGAGGTTTCCGTAGTCACCCTCTTGCCTTGGCTGGTGTCACAGCCCGTGGTGCCGCCTGCCGCGCCGGTGGTCCCAGCGCTGTCACCCGTGGGGTCGGTTGTGGTGGCGGCTCTGTGGCAGCGCTGGGGGTCTTGGGACCCCACACGGGCTCATGGGCACCTGCTCCAGGGGGAAGAGGCCGCTCCTGGCTGCGGGGTCTCCGCCGGTGCGTCACGACAAGGGTGGCCTTTGCCAGCGCCTGTGAGCGGGGGCACGGAGGGATGGGAGGGGCAGCGACCGCCTCCCTTGCTGGGAGGGAGCAGCAGAGGTTTCCCGTCCGTCTCCTCTCTCCCCACACGGGTTCCTGTGCCCGTTCCCGGCAGAGCGGGGCTGCAGTGGTGGGTTGGAGCCTGCAGATGGGTGTGGAGGTGATGAGGCAACGACCGGCCCTGGTGAATAACCAGCGTTCAGATGCTTTTCCAGGCCAGCCCGAAAAACCCACTCATCAGCACAGGAAGCTGCTGCAGCTCCCTGAATCCAATGGGGTTTGGCTTCCAGCACCAGAGGTAAATCTGGATTTGTGTTTTTCATCTATCTGCCATTGGAATCGTGCTTGATCTGGCGTTTGCAGGACCAGCTGTCCTGGTGCAGTCCTTGCCAAGGCTGAGATTGGCCACAGCCAATCGGTCGAGCTGGGACTGATGCTGTGATTCAGATGCTTTGGCAGACCCGAGGTTTCACCCCCTTATTCACCTTTTTTCCTGTTCTCAGCAATACAGTGAATGCGTGATAAAGCATTTGCCTCCCATTTACCCAAAGCTGTTCTTTCTATCCCCTGTGCCTTCCTGTCTGCCTAAATCTGATCAACTGAAAAAAAATAAAAGCCAACAGCCAACGAAGGGCTCCTTCCCAGTTGCTCAAAAGCCCGTGTTACTGCAGTGGTCACTTGTGGGGGGAGGCAGCACGGGTGTGCTGAGAGCTCCCCGGGAGGGGTCAGAGCTCCGCTGGTGCTTCCCCTCCATCCTCTGCTCTTTGTTCGGCCCCGCAGGGGCTGCGGGGCCAGGTGGGGCCGGGAGGGACAGTGCCAACAGCTGGACCTGTGTCCCCCCAGCCTGGCACCGGGGGTCAAGGAGAGGCTCAGGCACAGAAACGCGTGTGAGGGCACAGGCGAGGCCCCGAGCCCGGCTCCGCTGCTGCAGAACTGCTGCTGTAAGGCCGAGTGCAGCAAAACCCTCGGGAACTGAAATGGTAAGAACATTGCAGCTTTAAAAATTCCCCAGACTTCTAAAACCATCTCTCCCTTCCCCTCTTCCTCCATAAAGAGAGTCACAGTGTCAGCTTAATCGCTACCAGGCAACAGGGAAGAGCTGTAATTACTTGATCGCAGAACTGCACAAAACTTCTAAGTATGAGCAGCCTTCCCCACCCCTGGCACAACTGTTCTGGCACGGCCCCTGAAGGGCTGCAGCGTGGACAGCTTGTCCTGTCTGAGCTGCAGGCATGTAAAAGTAAATATTTCGAGGTCAAATACTTAAGAAAGAAAAAAGAAAAAAGTGTATTTATTTAGCACAGCCTAAACTGACAATTTTTGTAGTGTTTAATAAACAAGTTTTTTTGCATGCTTTGCAAGCTTTAGAAGGCTGCGACCCTCTGAGAGAAGGGGAGTGTTTAGCTCCCAGGTGCCCACAGAAACCGGCCCGCGGTGGCCAGGGCAGGCAGCAGGCCGGGACCAAGCGCAGAGGCGGGCGCGGCCGAGGCGCCGTTTCGTCGGTACCTTCGCTTCTGCCCCACAGCAACACCC